AACCACATATTGAGGCCGAGCAGGACAAACTTGTGGCCCAAGGTATGTTAGAACCGGTATCACATGCGAGATGGGAGACCCCTATTGTGACACCTATTAAGCCTGACGGGTCAGTGATAATCTGAAGGCTTTTTTCCGCAGATGTTCTTGCTTCTCCTTCCGTCTTTTTTTCCGGGCGGTCACATGCCTCTTCGCGCAGTTCTTTCTTAGAGGGGGGACTTCAGTTAGCTGGCTTCCACAGCAGCCCCTGCTGGCTCGTCGGGCTTGCTGCACGCAGGTGATGGGGAGGATTACGTCCTTCTGGCTCCAATCTCTCCAATGATGCCGCGCCGCTGCTGACCTACGACCAGTCGTTGTTCCGGGGGGGGCGTCCCTTCGCCGCTGCTTCTGCCGCTGTTTCGCTGCCATTGTTACCGGTGCCGCTATTTTCTCTCTGGAGCCACAGTTCTTCCACTTCTTCTAGGGGAGGGTACCCCCCTGACCGACTAAGGCCAGGTACCCATTTATCTACTCGCCATATAGGGCTTTCGAACAGCTGATTAGCCATGTGCTAGCGTCCTTGGGAGAAGATAAGGTCTTTGCGAAGTTAAATCTGGCTCAGGCTTACCAACAACTTCCTGTAGACCCCCAAGCCGCTATAGCACAAACAATTGTCATGCACAGGCGTGCGTTTAAAGTGAACAGGTTGCAATTTGGGGTAAACATTGCCCCAGGTATTTTTCAAGGCCTGATGGAGGGATTATTGAGTCTCGTACTTAACAGCTTCAAAGTAACAGGGGTGTGCGATGAGTTCCCTGCGTTTTTTTATGGGATGCTCAGTCGCTACACTGGACCTCTAATCTCCCTGCAACTCGACCTGGAGATGTGGCCGATCAGGCTGAAGGCCAGGCGTGTTACCTTTGTCCTGAAGCCCAAGACAGATGAGGAGCTAGATCAGTTGGTGGCCCAAGGGGTTTTGGAGCTGGTCCCGCACGCAGCATGGGAAACCCCCATCGTGACCCCAGTCAAGCCCAACAGAGACGTCCACATCTGCGTGGACTACAAATATACAATTAACAAGACCCTCCAAGACCATGCATACCTGGTCCCGGTGGTCAGCCATGTCCTGGCGTCCCTAGCGGGAGCTAAGATTTTCAAAAAAACTGGACTTGGCTCAGGCTATCAGCAGCTTCTGGTTGATGATGCAACCGCCGAGGACCAGATGATTGTAACGCACAGGGGCGCGTTCTGGATGAGGCGGCTGCAGTTTGGGGTCAGCGTCACCCCGGGAATCTTCCAAAATCTAATGGACTCTCTCCTTAAAGGAATTCCCGGGGTCCAGCCATTTTTCAACGATGTTCTAATCGCCATCCCCATAGATTAGGACTTCGCCACCCATCTCCACGCCGTCCTGCAAAGGTCCCATGATGCCAGCCTCAAAGTAAAGAGGGGAAAGTGTCTCCTGGAGGTCCTGTGGGTCAAGTTCCTGGGGTTTGCCATGGACGCACAGGGCATCCATCCTGCCACCAACAAGGTTCACGCCATCGTCAACGCTCCGAACCCTTCCTCCAAGCAGGAGCTTCAAGCCTTCTACCACTTGTTCCTGCCCCACAAAGCTGCAATTGTGGAGCCACTGCACCAGATTCTCGACAAATGGGCCCCCTGGGTCTGGGGCCAGAAGCAGGCGGCCGCGTTCCCTGCCGTCAAGGAGCTGCTCACCTCAAACATGGTCCTGGCACACTTCGACGAAGCGCTTCCCGTCGTCCTTGCCTGTGACGCGTCCCCATACAGGGTGGGAGCCGTCCTTGGTCATCAGTTTCTGGACAGCAGAGAGGTTCCTGTGGCCTTCTACTCCCACACCTTGTCCTCGGCCGAGCGCAAGTAGATGCAGATCAACACGGAGGCCCTGGCAATCATGGTGTGTGTAAAAAAATTCCATGATTACCTCTACGGGCGGCCCTTCACCATCATAACAGATCATAAACCCCTACTAGGCGTGCTAGCCCCGGACCGCCAAACACTGCAGATGTTATCTCCCGGGGTGGTGTGCTGGTCCATCTTCCTGGCGGGCTACCAGTATGCTCTGCACCACCGCCTGGGGAAGTCAATGGGACATGCTGACACCCTCAGCTGCCTGCCGCTGCCCTCCTGCGACCTGGATCACCAGATCCTGCGACCAGCCCACCAGATCCTGATCTTGGAGGACCATTAACACGTGTCGAACCCAGTATATTTCACTTCCTCCCCCTCTGTTTCCTCCCACACACCCCTTTTAACGTGTTCAATAGGCCACAGCATGCCGTACCTCCTAGAGCGTGCTCAGTCTTCATCAGATTGTTGGGAGGGGGATGATTTCTTTTAATTTACAAAGCTGTATTTTTCTGTATATCTGAGGAGTCCTCCCAGAGGTCATTTCGGGGGGGATCGCAGTTCCCCCGGGTGAGGTACGGGGGGCGGAGCACATGACGAAGCCCCACCCCCTGCTTCCGGCCGCCCTGCTTCCGGCCCTCATTCAGCCAGGAGGAGGCAGGAGGGAGGGTAAGTTGCTTCTCCCTACCCCTGCCTGCCTGGGGCCAGGGAGGGCCTTCACGGGGCTTCCTTGCACTCCCGCTGGCCTTGCAGGTCCACCGCCGGGCCCCTCATGGGGCTCGGCAGTGAAGCTGCAAGGCCGGCGGCGGCGGCCGGGACCGTTGGGGGTGGGGTGTGTGGCCTTATGACACACTTCCG